GCGAGTTTTTCCCGAATTTCTGTCTTAGGTACTGTTGCTTTCTCAGGGTGAAGGACATCAATGACCATTTGTTTCCTTTGAAGAAGCCGGTTGGTCATGAATTTCCGGGTTCGGATAGTTACTGTGTCATTCATGATGGCAATGGAGCCTCAGACAGCCCGGGAGGAAAAGAGCTATCACCCTGCTTAAACAAGTACTCACCACTCATATTACATGTGTATATCCCCTCACTCCTCCCCTCAGAAGCAGATGCTGGAAACTGTAGCATTGGGCAGCATGCTGAGTGGCTGCCAGGGCCGGCGCTGGACTAAGGGCTTCCAGAAGCGCTTCTGTGCTCCACTCAGGACCTTTCTGTTGCAGTTCTGTCTTCTTCAGCCTGCAGACAGAGTTTGCTGCTGTTACCCCAATTGGCTTAGTAAACTTCTGGATTCTTCTGAGGGAGATTGGCCTCCTAACAGTCCTCGGAAACTATTGCAGAGCTCAGCGGCTACCCAGGCATTTGGTAAAAGGCGAAAGATTTATACGATCTGAAGAGAAACCAGAGTATTACCCAGGCATTTGGAACATGAATGAGCTATGTGACAAAACCCAGAGACCTCAGAGCACTGTGTTCTCCTCCAGTGAGGGTGATCTGAGTAGGGGTGTTGGATACAGGTGGCATTGTGTCCTTGTCACAAGTGCTGTCAGATACTTGTTGCCAAAGCCCCCTTCCTTTTTGCCCCTTTCCTGGTAAAGGCCCACTGAGGCCAAAATGGAGGAATTGGAATTGAAGCTGTAATATCCTTTGGGGGTCTATCTCTAAGAGATCTGTCCCTTGTCCTTGCAGATTTTTTTCTGAGACAGCCTGTCTCTTCATTTTGCAGTTATATAGCCCAGGCTGACCTTGAACTCACCTAGGTCCTCCTGCCTCAGCCTCCTGAGTGCTGGGAATACTGATTGCATTCAGCACACCATTTGTTCTCTCTGACTTCTCAGGCCAGGGACTTAACAAATGGAGGTCTCTTACAACCTTCATCCAAATACTGCTGTTTGATCCCAACCACAGCCACACCAAATGAGTAAAGCAAGTCTGTATGAACTGTTTCCAGTTCATGAAGTTGCTCCCTGGGTAGGTGGTTGTGTTGAGTGCGACTAAACCCGAGCATTAGGTCTCAGGCTCTGTGTTCTCTCCAGAGGCACTGCAGAGTGTGCTCCTAGGCTGCCAGCCAGCACCACCTGAGACCTTGCTAAAAGGCAGATGCTGGAGCCAAGTCACTGACCTTGTGAACAGTTTACCTGGGGGTAGCAGTCAGAAATGTATTTTAACCAGTTTCCCAGGGACCTGGGAATTGCAGCTGGTGTTAAAGAACAGATAGATCCTACACTGCCTCTGAGCAGCACTCCGGTTATTGGGTTATTGCACCCCCCCATTCCTACTTGACCCAAAGCCTGGCTCCCAGAGTCCTTGGGGGTAGATCAGTGAGCCTGGCAGACATCCAGCAGGGCAGCTGGAAAACGGAGCCCATCTAGCTTTCAAGGAAGGAGGAAGCTGTAGAGTTGGACTAGCACCGTGGGTCCGGCTCTGTTCTTTGTACTGTCCAGAGTCGGATGCTTTCATCCTTGACTCCAGCTGGGTGGATTAGTACAAGACATCTTCCCCATCTTTGGTCCACATTCTGTAAGCCATTAGGAGATGGCGGTGCTCCAGTTAGCAGTTATTCTCCGAGGCCAGGTCTTGCAAAAGGACCTGGAGGGAACTTGGTTCATTTACTCCGGTGGACATTGAGCTACGGGAGCCCTAATACTACCTCCCAAAACCTGCGTTCAAAGGGCAAGTGCCATCCTTGGGTTTGGGGCAGGAGCTCGGCCCTCCCAGCCGGCAGGGGGCGCGCGCCCCCAAGCCACTCCGTCTTTCGTCCTTCGCGGGTGCCGCGGGGGCTGCCGGGAGCGCGATGGCGGCCGCCAGGAGGCTCATGGCGCTAGCTGCCGGCGTCTCTCCGCGCCTGCGGCCGCCGGACCCGCGCACTGTCCGGCGCCAGGGACGCTCGCGCGGCCTCTCAACTAGCCTCGCCCATCCCGACGGCGGCAAGGAGGCGGCCGAACCAGGGGCGGAGCCTGGGGAGGACGACTTGAGCATGGTGAACGGTGAGGCCGGCGGCGGCGCCCTTGGCTCCGGGGTTGAGCTGGGCGCGGACCGGGCCTCCCCTGGTCGGGTTTAGAGCCCGGGCGGCGCAGGCTGAGCAGGCCCGAGAACGCCCGCCTCTGCGGGGCGGTCAGGGAAGTGGGTCGCGAGGGCGTGGGGAGAGCGTGTAACGTCTGGCGCTGTGGGATTCCCGGGCCCTCGCCGGGCGGGAGGTGCAGCCTCAGGGTTCGGCGGCTCAGACACTGGCAGGACGACAGCTTTGTGCAGAACACAGAGCTGGTGGGAATGGCTGGGCCTGGTGGGGAGCCGGACCCCCGGCTTCCCGCACCCGAGGGCCTCGTGAGCATCCGTGGTCCAGCGGCTCACATTGCCTCTGTCGCTTTGTCCTTCTGGAATAGCCTTAAACTCTGTTAACTACTTGATTCCTAGTTAAGATTTACAAAGTGGCCTTTGGGCCCCAGATCTGGATCTACCCACAAGGAACAGTCCCAAAGTAGGCAGCGAGGTTACATTGGAACTCCTGGAGTAGCATCAGAGCAGGTGGAGCGTATCCCAACATCGCTGCCGTCCGTTCTTGTGTGCCCTGCGGGATCCGGACTTTCCAGTGCTATGAAAAAAACTTTCCAGTGATTATAAGCAAGTGTGCGCACCGGTGCACATACAAAGCCACCGAGTTCCATTCTGCAGCTGGTTTGGCTGGAGGCAGAGGATGGTAAATGAAAGGTCCCTGTCTCCACAGATCTCTGTCTCTGGTAAAGGATCACTGGTGCTTTGGGACCGGGCCTTTTTTATGTGACCACTCCCCTCAGATCGCTTTGTTGCCCAAGCCGTATGTGAGCCAGAAGCTTCCTGTAGGTGGGCACTGCACTCGCCTGTCTACTTTGCAGTTGAAGCAAAGAAAAAGTGGAAGAAACGACATCCCTCTTCTTACCAGGAGAGCAATCTTCTTAATGGCAGAGACAGCAGGAAAGGAAATAGCTCACACCTGGGTCTGTGCTGTGGCGGTCTTCAATCAACTTCTACACCATCTGGCTTTAGAGAGGTTTCTGTAGTTGAGGAACAGATGACATCTGAAGCCTGGTTTTCAGAATTTGTAGCTCATCACTGACCTGTGTTTACACAGCCGGTCTTGTGTGTCTCGCTTTGGGGGAGGCTTGGTCTCCAGTTAGTGTATGTGGAGGATTTTGATGTTTTAGTGCCTTCATCCATCATACATTTTGTGTGTGTGTGTGTGTGTGTGTGTGTGTGTGTGTGTGTGTGTGTGTGTGTGCTATAGGTGATATTTCGGGAATTTGCTCAGGGAAGAGGATGTTGGCTGTTTTTATTTTCCCCCATGGAGAACTTAGCTTATGGATCCACCCAAAGCAGTGCAAAATTTGTTTCTTTTTTTATTTGGGGGTGTTACCAGGACTGAAAATGAGAACTTAGTGCTTGTCAGACAGGTGTTGTGCCACTAAGTTACATTCCCAGCCCCTGGTGGTGCCTTTTTTTTTTTTTTTTTTAATGCAGGGTCTGATTATGCATCTCAGACTTGTAGTAATCCTCCTGTTTCAGCCTCCCCAGTGCTGAGACTTGTAGTAATCCTCCTGTTTCAGCCTCCCCGTTCTAGGGCTGGCATGGCATGCAGTACCTGGGATCTAACTCAGGACCTTGTGTTTACCAGGCAGGTGCTTATGCCACTGAGCTATCTCCTTAGGCCCCTGGTTTTTTTTTTTTTTTTTTTCTTTGCAGAACCAGGGATTGAACTCAGGCCCTTGTGCTTGCCAGGGAAGCACTTATTCCACTGAGCCATTTTCCCAGTCCCAAAACTTTTTTTTTTTTTCTGGTACCGGGGATTGAACTTGGGACCCTGTGCTTTCCAGGCAGGCACTTATTCTACTGAGCTATCTCCTGGCCCTGTTCTTCTTAAAGCAAAATAAATGAGATCATTTGGCTGGTTCCTTTCTATGGTGTGTGTCATTGGCTTTTCAGGAGGTAGTCATGCCTGTGAATGTATCCCCATTCCTCTAGAAGCCCGGAAGCTGGTCCTCCGACTTTTCCATTGTGCTCCTGGATGATTTGGGGTCACCAGCTAGGTGCCTCAGCATATAGCTGTGGTTTGCTTTGTTACACAGCCCATAGTTTTTAGGAGGTTTTTCTGTTTCTGTTTTTGTTTCTTTTTTTTGGAGGGGGGATTTTGGCAGTACTGAGGATTGAACTCAGGACCTTAACTTGCCAGGCAAGAGCTTATTCTACTGAGCTATCTCCCCAACCCCCGCCCATAGTTTTTAAAAGAAAATAAACAGCTATAATGTCTTTGTTCTTATCTTCTTAGCTTCTAGGGACCTGTTAAAAGAGTTTCCACAGCCCAAAAACCTTCTCAACAGTGTGATCGGAAGAGCCCTCGGCATCTCACATGCCAAAGACAAACTAGTCTATGTGCACACGAACGGACCGAAGAAAAAGGTAAGTGTACCAGCAGGGGAACCTTCCTTGATGAGGTATTGCCCTGCTTGACATGGAAGAGCCTTTGTGCCCCTTGTGGCTCAGGGGTTTTTGTCAGAAGTCAGAGTGGGTCTTCTCAATTAGGATGGTCAGCAGACTCCTCTAAAATCAAAGTTAGGGTTGAAGAAGAGCCAGAAAATACAGGTGCTTGGTTTAAACAAAGGGACTGAGGGGAGTACTCGCACCTGAGCCAGGCCTGGTCCCCTGGTTCTAGACCCTCCTACCCAGTTAGGACCACAGAGGGCTCGAAGTGATGGTGAAGATTCCTGTTTCCAGAATCTTGTAGACCCTGGGATCTGCAGCAGCATGCAGAGGGACCACTCCATATGAAGACTTTGAGAGCCAGGTCTAGTGTCTAGAACATGGTATCTTTGGGAAGCTAAAGAACTCACATTTTTAGGAATGGACTGGGCAGGGAGGGAGGCATTATAGTACGAGTGAGTCAGTGCTGGCTGGGGTTCTGTCCTGTGCCCCAGCCCACAGTGGCCCCAGCACAGCATTCCGTGAGCAACATCCTTCTGCAATTGCTTCTCTTTGGATTTGCAGCAACTCTGAGCTAGAGAGGCCACTTGCCTGATTGTTTCTTCTCTCTACCAGAAAGTTACCTTGCACATAAAGTGGCCCAAAAGCGTGGAGGTGGAAGGCTATGGCAGTAAGAAGATCGATGCTGAGCGGCAGGCTGCAGCTGCGGCCTGCCAGCTGTTCAAGGTAACACCCTGCAGTGCATGCTGCCGTTCTTCCCCACGGAGCTTTTCTGGTTCCAAGGACATCATGGTGGGTTGACAGTGTTCAGCCCTTCACTGGCCTAGAGCCCAACTCCTGGTTCCTTCCCTTTTTTTTTGTACCAGGGATCGAACTCAGGATCTTGTTCCTTCCCTTTGTTAGCCATAAGGGAATAGACTTTTGTTTTTCAAGACCCTCCCCCTCTTTAAGCACTTGCTTTAAGCGCAAAGGCCTGAGTTCAATCCCTGGTTCCACCAAAAAAAAAAAAGACCCTGTTCCCTTCTTATTTTTTATTTATTTTTATATATTTAGGGCAGGGTCAATGGAGTGTTCAGGTCTCACTACTAGATCAAACTCGTATTGATTCTCCTTTTGCAGCCTCCCAAGTGCTAGGATTACAGGTGTGCGCCACCACGCCCACTCTCAATCATTGTACCCTGGGGGCGTGGCCAGCCCAGCGTGCCAGAGATGGAACCTCTGCCGCTGCGCTCTGCTTAAGGATGTGCTTTAGTCTGTTGAACCATCAAGCCAGCCCATCTCCTTCTTTACTGGATCAGTGGTTATCTCCTATCTGGTTTCAAACACTATAGAGCAGTTTTGTGTGGACACCCTAGAACAAGCACGAGGGCATCTTCCCGTTGGATCTCTGCTTTGCCCGCTCTCTCGGGTTTCACCCCAGCATAGTCCCCTGGTACTGGGTGGGGACGCACCTTTCTCTGCTGCCCCGCGCTACGGGATCATCTGTTGTTGTATCTCCCCTTCCTAACTGGCTGCCTCTGTGGCCACACCAGCCTTGACATGGGTCTAGATTTCCACCATGGTGAGCGCAGAGCCTGGCACATGTGCTCCCTCCACTCTGCTCCTGTATGGCTTGCCTTCTTGAGCACCTCAGGAGGGGTAGTCCCTTGTCTTGTGTCCCGTCCTAGGGCCCACATGGCCTACCCCTTTTCACTGTCCCATCTTCTGGTTTTTTTTTTTTTTTTTTTTTTTTTTTTTTTT